AACTAGGACAAATGTCAAGCCAAGACCATCTGGTTGTAGCTAAATCATGTAATGACTCCCAGAAGCACAGTCAGCTTTTGGGCACCTACTGTCCCTGGGATTAGCAGACAGACTTGGGGCATGGCCAGTTCCGAGATTTGTTAGAATCTGTCCTCTAGCCTCAGTAGAAAGAGCTATGCTATGGCCACACAATTTGATATGTAGGAAAACAACTCCTTTTTTTTTTTCTGCTAACATTCTTTAGGGCTAGAAGGAAGCACTGATGGAAAGAATAATTCTGGGATCTAACCAGAGTATACTGCCAATGAGTATTCCATAAATACCCAGGACATTTATGAATGGGACAATCAGTCTTCCACTTGTAGTGGTCCATGACATAGCCTGATCCTGAATTAACACTCTGCAAATCAAGAAGAACCTTTGGAGGAGACAATGGAACAGACTTAAGAATGCAGGTCACACTGATGTGAGGTGGGAATTCTCTTCACCTGTACTGAGAATTCCAAACCACAGAGGAATAGGCACATATTAGAGAACAAATATAGATTTCTAAAACAAGCCGGATGAATTACATCCCACAAATGCTTAATTTTCTCCAGCAGCTGTAAAATTACTAGATGACTATGTTCTATGTAAGTGTCTAAAAAAAGGTAACTAGAATCCCATCCCTGTCAACAGTCTCCACAGGACCCAAATGTGTAACACCAATTCCCGTAGTTTGCTCCAAATCAGTGCATAAACTACCACCAAAATACTGTAAGTGACCTCAACAGTGCTGAATATTTGATAGCACTTGCATCATGGAACTGTTGCTGGGTATTCTCACACTTTCCCCTACAGCCTTCAAAGCATTCCTGGATTCCTCTTCGGTGCTAAGCTCTTGCATAGCAATCCCTGTGAGTAATACTTGTACGACCTCCAGTTGGCCAAGAGATTCTGTCCTACACTAGTGCAATTCATTGCCCTCTATTATTCATGTTTTTGTCACCTCTTGTCTAGACTAAAACAATGCAATACTCCTGGGCTTAGAGCCATCAGCCTCATAAGAAACTTAGAGCTAATAGAGAATTCTGGAGGAAAATGTTTTCTCCAGCAGAATAATGAAAACTGCCCCTTGTTTCCCATTCCTAAAAAGAAGTATTAAGTCTCTCCCAGGGTTTCAGGTTTTATTTTAGGAGCATGTAATTGCTTCAACCCTGCATAAGGTCCACATAAGCCTCTGTGATGAAAACCACGATTAGCACGTGCATGTCTGATGCAAAACAGAATTCTCCTTCACAGTCATAAAGCTCACCTTTCACACAGGGAATTTATATGGCTTTCTGGAGCAGATTTCCAAAGAAAACAGGGACACTCCCACCACTCAAGAAAAAAGACATGCTGCCTCAAATATGCCAAACCTAACACAGCACAGTGTATGGCCTTTTAAGTAGCTCCCAAACCCCAAAAATTGGGCACTGCATGTATAGGGAGAGGCAGAGTGGGGAAGACTAAGCTGCAAGTAAGGGAAGTCACATGCACTGCTTAATGCACTAATGGAAGGAACTGAGATATGATGATGTTAAATCATAGAATCATCAAGGTTGGAGGAGACTTCTAAGATCAAGTCCAACCATTAACCTGTCACTGCTGGAACCACTAAACCCTAAACCAAATCCTCCAGCATCAGATCCAGATGCCTCTGAAACACTTCCAGGGATGGTGACTCCACCACCTCCCTGGGCAATATCCCAGTGCCTGAACACCCCAACAGTGAAAAATGTTTTCCTAACATCAAATGCAGTATAACAGTCCCTGCAGAACAGAAAGGAATGGGATAATTTCTCATAACTTGGAATAAATTTTAGGGAGAAAAGCTTATAATGTAGCAGAGAGGAAAATTTACGAAGGCTATGCACAATCTGTTAGTTGAGTAATTAACAGATATGCAGCAGTCCTAGATGATGTGGAAAAAAATGCTTCTAAAGAAAATAAAAGTTGCAAAATGAGGAAATTTCAGACCTCAATCTGCCAGTGTAGGCATAAGTATCCTCCTCTGTGCGTGTGCATGGCTGAGACCCAGAGTTTAGGGCCTTCCAAATGACTTCAGTGGAATATTTGCCAGAACATCTTGGAATGGGGGGAAAAAAGCAGTGTTACATCTTAGCCTTGTTCTTGGATATGGCTGAATGGTGCTGTTCTAACTGAAATTTCTCTCCCAGAATTCACGCCTGAGGCAAACATCTGCCTTGGAAAACTTGAACCAAATAGTTAGAAGTTTTGTAAATCTACCCATAACTGAAAACTGGATCTTATAATGAATAGAGTCAAGCAATTGGAATAACAGGCACTGTTACCTGGCCACAGCAGAATAACAAACTTAGGCCAAAGAGCTCAGAACAAGGATATTTCCATCCTGAGCTGTCTACTTTTACAGTTAAAAATGACCTGTTGTCTTCAGCTTTTGAATCTTGACCTATATACAATAATTTTTAACTCATTTCTTCATCTGAAGTGCTACTCAGTGTTTGATTCCAAATAATAAACCACAATGCCTGAAAAAATACTCAGATAAGTGAAGAAAGATACGGATCTACTTTGAAATAGATAGGGCAGCTGCATCTTGCTTGGGTTTCTTGCATATATAGATAGCAGCTCAGATCACTTGATAAGTGAAAGATTTTAGAATTTTCTAATTCATGAAATCTTCCCCAAAAACTGAGGTGCAGAGTGGGATGGCATCAGTTATAACATATGCCCCAAAACATATGAGGGAAATTCAGATACTCTGGCATAAGACACAGAAAAAGTGGCTGACAAATCATTTGCAAGTAAGCACACAGCAATGAAATGTTGTTGATGCATACCCTAAAACCAGAAAGATCTGTGATAGACATTTTACCATATCTAAACAAGAAGTTTTTGGCAGCAGAAAAGATAACAGATGGTTAGAAAATCAGACTGCAGAATAGAGCTAACAAAAATACTTGAATGAAGAATAGTTTTTATTGCACTGTTAATACTGATTATGGGGAACAAGACCCATAGCAATTATCACCATTTATATAAAGAATGATAGAGAAAGACTTATTTTCTGAAGAGGGGGGAAAAAAGAATAAAATACTGTGCACAAAATATTCTGTCTCAATTTAAAAATTATATTGGTCAGAAATTTTGTACTGACTGGAGTGGCAACAAAGTCCAAACACAGTCATATATAAAAAGAATGACTGAAAAAAAGGATCAGTTTATGCATTTGACTGTTCTGTTTGTAATGAAATTCACTCTGCTTTCATTAACCTTTCTATTGCAATCTGAAGTCATAAGAGGAAAGCATGCACACACTTAGCTCTCTGCTAAATACATTACATTCCAAGGAAAAAAGATCTGAAAACTCAATACTCAAATTCAGAATTCAGCCTACATATTAGCTGATGATGCCAAGCTCATAAAAATACTTTTTCTGCCCTGTTTTAATTGGCATCACCACTCCTGCAAGGAATACTCTGAAATTAGTATGAACAAGCCAATGGCCAGTGGTAAGGAAGAAGTAAGAAAGAATGAACAGAGTGTCACAAGCAGAAACAGAGTCCAGGAAAACACTCTTAGTTCCACTTCTCTCTTTCTCTCCTACAGAACACAGGTAGGAAATCATGGCTTCTCCCTGTTTAAGTCCTTTCTGTGACACTGGGAAAATAACACTACCCAAACACTGGTTTCTTGCCAAAGAGTGCCTCAAACTTAAGGACTCGGTGCTACTTTAAGGTAGGACAAAAAAAGAACAATCCTTGTATAATCCAAAACGTCAAAATATCTTTTACCAACTGGAAACCTTATCATCTTTCTCAAGCATATTTTAGATTTCCCAGTCTATTTTGATTAATTCCCTTATTCCATATCTTATTTGTGAGCTGAAATTCTGGAGTGATCTTTGAGAAAACTTTCTAATCAGAGATCATTATATATTTTGTAG